TATGTGTATATATGTGTATGTATATATATGTGTATATATGTGTATGTATATATATGTGTATGTATATATATGTGTATATATATATGTGTATATATATGTGTGTATATATATGTGTATATATATATGTATGTATATGTATGTATGTATATATGTATGTATATGTATGTATATATGTATGTATATATATATATATGTATGTATATGTATAAAAGAAGCATCTTTCCATGCTAGTCCTGTGTTCATGTTGTCGCAGTCTTTCTTCTACTTAATGTTTTCTTCTTCAATCTGCATATAAAAATGTTTGATTAAGTATAAAAGGTGACACCCATCCTGATCCTTATTATTATTATTGTTATGTTGAAGCTCATTTGTCTTCGTTGGCGTTGATGCTTCGTGTCTGTGCGTTCAGGTGAAGCCGGTCCATTTTACAGTCCACGCAGTTGTGACCTCCTCAGACCTGCAGTTCGACCGGACTGAGGTGGACTTCGGCTTCTGTTCCATTCACCGGTCGGTCAAGAGCAGCGTTCGCCTCACCAACCTGTCCCTGCTGCCTCAGGACTTTGGCTTCCTGGGTGTTCCAGAGGTACTGCAGGAGTAACAACAACTTCTAGGGCGTTAGTTTGCGGTGCTGTGAACGCCTTATCTTCTGTCATGTGTTACTGTGTTTGTGAAGTACAGTTGCTTGGATCCATACAAGCAGAAACTAACCCAGATACTGTTAGTCAATGAGAATAATGTTTTTGTCAGTTCTGCATCACTAGATGGTGTCAGATGTGTAGGAGACTCATATTTAGTCATTGAAATAAATAGGACCTTCACTGTTCACCGTTTTTCAGCTTCTCCCTTAATTTCACAGGTTTCTCATTTTGTTGAGAGTTGCTCTTTTCGTTCAACCCCTTTAATATAATCGTGAAGATTTCAGACCTGGTTGATTTGGCGTTCCCATGCAGTTACCGTGGCAACAGCAAATGCAGTTTTAGCACCACAGCAAACACTCGTTGAGGAGCTACTTTGGTTAAAAATACAACAAAAACAATACCAGTTGGCTGTTTTAATGTGAGGCAGCTCTCATACGTGTCAAGAAAGTGAATAATAAACAGGGAGACTGTTGTCAATGAGACAAAGTTATGTTGGATTTCAGGCAAACACTGTTTGCTGTGAATCCCACATGTTCAAGTATGCAATCTGAATCCCACGCGGGAACGGCGTACTCCGCCACTAATAATAGAACAACTATCCTTATGTGCCCTGCCAATTTTGGGGTTTGTTAATTTTCCGGTTTTGACTCTTGACTTCCGGGTTAACAGCGCTGTTAATAGCACTGACCTAATTAGCGCTGCCATACAAATAGCGCCCTTTGTTTGTCAGGCTGCTGCAGAAGAAAGTCTCTCATTTTCTTCCAGCTCTGGCAGTTCTTAAAGTTGTACGTTCTAGCCTCCCTAGTGTACAACTGTTCAGATATTTGCTGAAGTGGAGGCACCACAAGCAGCAGATGTAAATCCACAATAAACAACACATCCTCACTTCCCATGCAAACAGGAAGTTAAAAGACAAAATGACAGAGTTCGAGCACTTCCTTGTTGCTAAAACATATGTGGTCAGTCGAGAGATGATTAGTGAATGTAAGTACATTGAATGGCTGTTGCCTAAGAAATATCAGGGTTATAACTGTAAATTGTAAATTTGTGTTGTTCTTGTTCTCTCACACTACAGTTTATTGAGCTCCAGCCTGATGATGGCTTTGGCACTCTGCTCCCACAAGAGACCCTGGAGATAGATCTGATGTTCAGTGCCAACAAGGCCAAAGAGTACCATTTCCAGCTCAGCTGCAAATCAGGAATTAACAGGTCATCTTTTTGAATCTTGCATTGTGTGTGAATGGAATGGATTTGATTTATAACACCAGTATATCCATGATTGTTATCATGGTATTTGATTCAATACTTTGTTCATATTTATAATAACCAAACAATCTATTTGTATTTGTCCATAGAGATTTCCCTCTGTCATGCCGAGCGGTGGGTGTCTGCCCTCCACTGCAGCTCTCCCATTCTCTGGTTCAGTTTGGGGCCACAGCGGTAGGCGACCTCTCCACTGCCGTGCTTTACCTGATCAACCTTCAAACCAACCATAACCAGTCCAAACAACCAGTCCCTCCAGTGGTCAAGGACACCGTGGCTCCTGTAGCGCCCAGGCTGTTCTCCTTCAGCCTGCCCGAGGATTCAGACATCAGCATCACTCCTTCAGCGGGCGGCCTTCTGCCCGGAGAGGTGGAGTAGCACACCTCTTGTGGTTACAGGGGTATTAAAGGGCACGCCACCGTTTTTACACATAATCTGCAGGTTACTAGTCTTTTTAATGGGTTTCTTGTGATTCCCCCACATTTATGGAAGTGCAATACTAAATTGCTGGAGTTTAATATGGACCTGATCAAACCTGGCATGTTTTCAGCACTATCTAATAATATTAACTCGACCCCGTCCTCACCACCCGCTGTTTTAGTATTCCGGTGGAGCCAGATCTCCTGAAGTTGTGTTTCTCATTTTACGCGTGGCCAAAATCTAAATATTACATTGTTGCAAAGCCACGATTAAAGTTTTAGACTCTTAGTCCAAACTCTAAACTAATCAAAAATAGTTTGAGTTGAGTTTGTGAACATAACCTTTTATTTTGCTGTGTAAAGAAACCAAACCTGGGACTAGCTAAATACATTTTTACTTTGAATGACAATTTGCAACGAAGACATAATGATACCAGAGCAAAGTGGTGTGAGAGGAAAATCTTTATTTCAACCCAGTTATATCAGTTATACACAACTACAGCGACAAACAGCCATCATAGCTGCCATTGGCTCACAACAGATCCCTTCACAGTGTAGTGATGCACTCTACTGGACATCTGAAGGATGTGAACAAGTGCTTTTTTTAATTTTGCACTGTCAATGCTGCAATATCAATAAGTACAGAACATATTACAAAAAAGAAACAATGAATCTTAATGTTCATTTGGTGATTCATCTCAAAGTGTAGGTGTTTTAAGAAAATCATTGGAGTTTATTGTTTGGGTTGTGACTGGAATTAGAAATCCTCTTTTCTGACAGTGGAAAACTTTCTTCAAGGCTCTGTTTATAGAAACATTCAAACTGCGTAACAGAGGCATGCTGGGAGAAATCCAGTGAATATTCTGCAATTGGAAAACGGGGATTATCGTCCACGCTAGGAGACTGCCCAAAACTAATTCAGACCTCTGCTTCGTAATAGCAGAGGCTTAAATAGAAAAAACGCCGGTGAGGAAGAGCACTGGAATCTGAACGCCACTTTAAAGTTCCCTGTAAATGTGTATAATACAAGGCGTAGTGATAACCGGTGTTACTGCTGGACCCTCTAAATCTGAGAAATTCCTGACACGATACCAATCTCTCCACTCACATAGAGATGTCTGGTCCAAGTGACGTTCAGACCCAGACTGTCAGACCAAGACATCAAAGAGGAGGCGCTGCGTCTCCTCCAGCGAGCCAAGTCGCTCCGTGAGAAGGAGCTGGAGAGGAACAGACACGCTGAACACGAGGTGCAACTACACACACACACACACACACACACACACACACACACACACACACCTACTCAGGGTCAGCCTGTGCTGCCGCAGGTGCTTTAAATGTGAACTCATCCTCACCAGCTTACTGACTTTTTTTTTTTTTTTTCCTCACTTTCATGAACATGCTGGTGTTTGTACAGAATGTAGACGCTACATTTGTCTAACCTCTGAACCCATCAATCAACTTTGTGTGTGTGTGCGTGTGCGTGCGTGCGTGCGTGCGTGCGTGTGTATGTGTGTGTGTGTGTGTGCGCGCGCGCGCTCGTGTGTGGGCTGTGAGGCTAAAAAGGAGGTCCCAGTGGAAACCGGTAAACAGAAGAAGACATCTCTGACTCCAAAGAGCAGCAAGGCGTCAGATGGCCCAAACTCAGACCAACTCACTGAATCACCAAGTCCTGCCGACATACAGCCATGGTGGGAGGTTTTCATTTCAACAAAGACTGATTGATTTTGTCATCAATGATGTTGTTCGCTTTGTACCACAAAATTACTTTGGAAAACATGTCCTGGACTGAAATGCCAATGAAGCAAATATTCATTTGTAAATATTCTATAACCAAATATCTAAGAAATGTACTGCAAAATTTTTTGAAACATCTTTCATGTTCTGCCTGAAGGCTTCTTTGTATCGGAGAGTAATTAATAACTTGGACAGAAGTCTGAGATCCAACAGCACTGAAATAAGAAAAATGCAAAGCTTTCCCTTAAACATTTCCTTCTTCTTTCGGTGCTCAAGTGATTTCATTAGTATTGACATTTCTTTGTCATTTGCGGTGATCACACCATACTCCCAGTATTATCTCAACAGAGCTGGAAAAGTCTGAGGAAAACTGTTTTTTATTGTGCTTACATGGAGGAGATGCTGTTGATTGGTTTCATTGTGCCGAGTCTTTCTCTTTGAAGGTCAGAGCAGTATGAGGAGGCCAGGGCCTCTCTGCTGTACGCCTTCACTCAACACTACAGGGAGTGCACCGTTCCCTGCTTCGTGTCGGACGGAGGCCCCCCAGAGGACGACCGACAGGCCCGGCCGGCATGGAGGTAGCACTGAGTCTACAACATGTCACAACGCACAACTTGTGCTTTTGTGTTTTAAATACAAATATACAAATAAGCTTATTTCCCAAAAATGTAAATTATTCCTTTGAGGCCCTTAGCATTTTTAGCTGATATTATGTTTTAGTGGTGCACTTTCCAAAATTTTGAATAAACCTGAATCTCTCAGTGACCTGAGGGTCTGGGTGCCCATCAAGTAATGCTGTCTCGATCTCAATTGGGAATTCTGGCGCTACATTGCATTTCGAGCTTCCTTCCCGTAGTGAAGAAGATGTGTGGGATTGTGTGTGAAATGATCTTGTTGTTTGCTACGTAGCTTATTTTCTTCCTTTTAACGAATAGCCAAGACATCCGCTATAGTGGAAACATCTAGGCTGCCTGGAACAAAACATATCATCACTCTAACACTATGTGTATGGAAGACAGTACTGATAACCCAGTAAATCGAGGACGGACCGGTCATTTAGCATTAGCCGTGACAGCCACCATGATTGAAGGGGACTGGAGGAACTCACAGATTACAACAGGATTTTACCCATCTAGATAGGGCAAGAGTGTATCTGCACCCTTCCAAGTGACCAAGTGCAATCTGTACAAGGATGACCTATATATAAAGTTTAGAGTGTAAGACTGGATGTATGGTTGGGGCCTAGTCTTATTTTCCAGCTGATGACTCAGCCATCCTGTCTCCTTATAGTCTGCTCAAGTTATGATGTGCAGTACGACATTAAATTCAACTCTAAAAAGAGTGATTGCTAAAACCAAGGAGAGCCCGAAGCTAAATTTTCCTTTTGTTTATTTTTTTTTGTGGCAAGCCAAGCGCTAATTGTGGTGAACAAAGTGAGATATTTGGGTCACATCATCAGGAAGGATCTACGTGATGACGACGATGTGCGACGCCAGTCTTGCTGACTTTATGCACAAGCCGATATGTGTACAGATGATGTCCAAACGGCTCTCTCTCCAGGCCTGCTGTTGTCTCCGCTCCATTCAGCCCACGCAAAAAATGAAAAAGCTTCAGGTGGCATTTAATGATGCGTTTAGAATCTTGCTGAAGCTCCCGAGATAAACAAGTGCAAGTCACATGTTTGTGCCCAGTAATGTTTCCACCTTTCTTGCAGTATTAAATAAATAACAATTAACAGAGTGATTTTATTTACTGCAATGACTATACCTCTGTGTTGGTGTCCTCATTTTGTATTTATTTATATATATATTTTTTATATGGACCCATGTGTCTGAAATAAAGTTGAATTGAATATTCTGGCAGGTGAAAAGAATCCAGTGTCTATGACCTTTCTATGACAAATCAGTATGTAGGAGGGAGGTGTCCCATCTTGTGAGCTGGTATAACCTTTAAAAATCATCTTCAACCTCACATTGGGGAAACTAAAGAGGTGATCTTTGGCTTCAAGAGAGGGGAAGTTGGAAAGAAACGCTTGACTGGGAAACCTCTTTCTTCTTACCATAATCTCAGCATAAACGATACATTTCATGTGAAGCTATGGTGCCGTTTTACACAGCTAAGTGTCTGTATTGCGTCCATCGCAGTTTGGTGCGGTGACCTGGCCTCTGTTGAAACGAATGCATCTGGAAAAAAACAGACTGTATCCAAACTTGTCGTTTGTCCCTTCTGTCTCTTTCTTCTATTTATAACATCTGGTTTTATCCAGTGACTCTAAGTGTTGTAGAAAATGCCTTCCGGAAAGAAGAAAGAAAACACCTTTGGTTTAAATCTAAGCATTTCAAAAGAAGTAGTACACACCCTGAGGCTGTTCCACCTATGAATGGTAAACATTCTTTTTTGAACTATGAGCTCACCAAAGTGTGTTCCTTACAGCGTTTGTTGAAGTGGCATTAAAATGAACTCTGTGTTATCCTCAAGTATAAAGGATCTACGTCATATTAAGAAAACAAAGAACGGGAGTTCCGCATGCTCTTTATTTCACAGCTTGTCGTGTTCAATATCTCCACAGTCCCTTCAACACGCTGTACTTGAAGCTGCAGTGTCCTGCTGTACAGCCTCCTCTAGTGCTCATATCCAACAAGGGAAAGAATGTGGTCGACTTCCATCAGCTGGCAGTGGGTGAGTGATTCCGAAAGTTTTATCTTGCTTGATTCTTCTTCCCATACTGTTATGGTGTTATTGATGTTATTAATTGTGTGTCTTCTGTCTTTAGGAGAAAAAGTGATCAAGAGGTTTACAGTTCAGAACATTTCGAGGGAAGCTTTGGATGTATCCTGTCAAAACACAAACTCTTACAGATAACTAGAAAACTAAGAGTCATGTTGTCAACTGCTAATGTAAATATGTTGTTAATTCTTACAAAAACCCGCTTGATATCTGTAGAAATGTTTTTAACATACTTTATGAAAAACTGATGTGCACGTTCTATATCTTACAGGGACAGTTTACCTCAAAATCTGAAATACATATTTGTCCTCTTGCCTCTGGAAAGAGACATTGCTGTTAAGTTTTTCAAATGGTTTTTTTTTTGTTGGCGCTCTGAGCACCTCATGCCGAGTGCCATATAGTCCCATTATATCCAAGAGAAGACACACATCTCTACAGCCAATATCTCCAAAACGAGGCAACTCACACCAAAACAAGCTAGATTGATAGATAACGTCATCCTTTCACTATGGGAGGTTCTGTCAGCAAAATGAAAGTTACAATATCTCAAAACTTACCATGTTAGATGCATACTTACCCATAGTCTATTTATAAATGTACACCTATGAGATTAATCCGCGGAAAAAGTAATAATCCATCTATATATATATATATATATATATATATATATATATATATATATATATATATATTATACACATGGCACTCTTTGTACTAGTTATTTTCATGTCCACATATTAAGTACTTCAATTAAGTGTAGTGCGTCTTAATCCTAAATTGCCACTATTTTTATTATGGCAGATACTACTACTACAGATAATAATAATAATATGATCAACTGTTCACCACTGCTTTTCTTTGACTGTTTCCAAGCTGAGGCCGTCGGTGCTGGATGTACACGGTCCTTTTTCCCTTCTGAATGCTCTCAGACACATCAGACCCGGAGAAAAACACACTCTGGTTCTGGCCTTCTGTCCATCTCTGGAGAAAAAGGTCGGTAGAATTTTTCCATGAAGTGCTGCTTTTCACTTAAACTTAATAAACACGTGAGTATGTCACACTTTTCCCCGCTATGGAATGAATCCACTGATTTGTCCTCACCAGATTCAGTCATTGTGCCTCTCCATCTTCAAAGATTATGTAGTAACATTACCGATACTGAGCGACACTTTACCCACTCTCTACTGTTCTCTAGTACTGCGAGATTCTGGAGGTGTGCAGCCAGAAGATGACACTGGAGATGACTCTGTGTGGGGAGGGTCTGGTCCCTGCTGTCACCTCCTCCCACCCTGGAGGTCTCCTTGACTTTGGCTACGTGTTGGAGAAGGAGAGCACCTCGCACGTCCTGAAGGTCAGTCGACAGTGTGCTGATGGCAAAGAGAAGAAGCATGAGACCGTGATTACATCTTGTTAGTTTTGAAGATACTCTCAGATCCGTTCTTAAAACAGTCAGAATCAGACCTGGAGTGCTGTTTGTATGCACAGATTACCTTGAAGTTTGGAACTGACATTGTGTCCTGTTTTGCCTGCAGCTGCAGAACAGCTCAGCGGTGGCCGTGGGTTTTCGGGTGCTGCTGGCCAGCCTCTCTCCCTCAAGGCCTCAGGGTGGAGCTGACAGTGTGGCCTTCCTGCTGCGGACTTACACAGACTCTCAGGTCCAGCCCACTGTGGGTAAGAACAAATTAACACCGCAGGGATTCAGCAGGGAACCTGAAAACTTTAACTGCCAGAGATTTACATTCAGATGGGTGGGATAAACCTGAATAAATGAAAGGAGAAACAACAAATGCAAACAACTCCAGGACACATGAGTCTCACTGAGAGACACTTATATCATCATCAGATATATTTAACTCCCAATTAATTGATATCCACCACTGGTCGGGCTATAGTACTTTTTTTTGTCATTCTAATCAATGTGGAAGTCTTAATACTGTTCAACCTGAGCATCACAGCTATCATGGAAAGATGAGTATCTTTTGTATCTCGCATAGGAACCCAGAACCACGGTGGGCTGAGTGTGTTCAGTGTGGTGCCAGCAGAGGGCAGCATTGCTCCAGGACAGAGCCTGGACGTCGCCGTCACCTTTAAGCCCGACCACCCATCTGTCAACTATTCTGACAGACTGACCATAGAGCTCATGAATAAGGTCAGCACAACGCCACGCGCACAGAGACGTGGAGAACAGAACACTCAACTTGAACCTTGATCTTAATTACTGGTTTTGAAAGCATCACATGGTCCAGGCAAAATGCTGCCCTCCAAATGTGCTCATCAGACCATGTATGTCCTCCATTCACTCTGGTTTCCGTGACGAAACAACCTTAACACCGTGCCATTTCTGTCTCTCAGAGTAAAGTGTGTGTGGTGGATCTGAAGGGCGCAGCTTCTTCACACAACATGTATCTGTTTGGAGGAGACCTGCTGTCGGTGCCCATTGAATCCCTCCTCCCTCCACTGATAACCGGTCAACCTCACCTCACAGGTATTCTCTGCCTTCATGTCTTCCTCTGGGTTATCCACATCTGTTATAATGGACATGATGTAGTTTAATGGCATGTAGTCATTGCAGAAGGGATCAATAGTATCTATGGAAATGATCCATGGAAAGTGATTCAAGTTCAAGCATATTCTCAAAGATGCCCGAAGGCTCAAACCAGGCAGAGAAAATACAGACACTGACTATGTCTATGACTATGAATATGACTAATAACTCATTGCATAGTTTATGCCAGCAGGGGCAGGGTGTATGTCTTGTAGTAATCTATGCTAATCATAGGATGCTGACAGCCCATGTGCTTGTCACCAGCATTCAGATCATATTTCAGCACAAGATCCAAAATAGGCACATCTCCTAGACAAGGTTAATGTTCACTAAATCAAAGTGTTAGTTTTGCATTAAAATAACATCAGCAGTCAGAATAGGAAAAAATAAAACTGAAAAAAATGCTCTGAAAGCCTCCCATTGACACCCAGCAAAATGTGCGTATTTGTCCTATCCTTCTAAGCAGCCATTGGTTTTCATCAATTCCTATAAAGTGCAAATCAGCAGACTCTTTAAACTTGCTTGAACTGTGTAAGCCAACATACTGAACGTTTCTTTGGACTACCGTATATCTGCCCTTTTAAAGTAAAGATTCATTTGAAAAGGCTGCAGCACGAAAATCTAAAAATGTGTAGCATGTTCTACAAGTTCTACAAATGATTTATAGTTGGATTTGTTGGAACAAACAAATTAAATAAGTGAATGGAAGCCGAAGGATGTCTGGAATGGTAGAGATAAGACACTTCAACACTTCAACACGCTAGTAGCTCTGTGAGGCTGTACTTAGGCACAGCTAAATGCTAACGCTAGCATGCTAACATTTGTTAATTAGCGCTAAACACAAAGTACAGCTGGGGCTGATGGGAATGTCATTAGTTTTGCAAGTATTTAGAGCAAAGTATTGAACAAATGAAGATTTTGACCTAATGATCGTGTTATATGGATTAAACCTTAGTTGTTTCCTGTGAAGATGGAAGTTTATTTTGGAAAGACAGTATGCATGTAACAAGCGAAAACAGACTCATGTTGCTGGACTTTTGCAGGACAAACGCACGAAAAGTGAGGAGTAATTTTTCGTAAGATATCAATAAAACGGGGATGAATTTATATCATTGTATAAAGAGAGTGACATGAGAAGATCAATCTCATGTCTGTAAGTTAAATCAGCTATAATCACTCTTTTAAAGTGATTAGTGACTCGTCTAAAACATTTAAAAAAGGAATAACTTCAATAGAATCATTCTATACACTGTAGCTTCTTTACATTCTATTAGAATGTAAAGAAGCTACATTCTGATACAATGTAGCTTCTTTACATTCTATTAGAATGTAAAGAAGCTACATTATTACCTTTTCTTTTCTTTTCTTCCCACAAGAACGTAATTTTGTCAGGTTGATAAAAAAAATGTCACTTTACTTCCTGACATTATTGTTACTTTAAGAGGACCATGAATGTCTGTAATTTCATACAATTTCCATCCAGTAGTTGTTGAGATTTTTCAGTCCAGACCAATGTGGTGGACCGATCGACTAACAGACTAACAGTACTATTCCTAGAGCCATGCCGCCAGCATTGTCAACACGCGTTCCGATTTCTAAATCACTACTATCGTTTTTTGCTAAATGAGCTGGGTTGAAAATGAACCGTACCGGCGAATTCCATTGACTCTGGTCTGGTGGGCATTAAAGTGAAGTGAGCGTACGTAGCAAATGGGCTGAATCTTGCAAAACTCCTCATACGGTCCTCTCTGTCTAGCTGAGTCAGAGCTGATGGAGAAGCCCACCAACCCTGCCCTGGTGACCCTGCGGGCCGGCTACAGCGCAGGAGTATTCACACCTGCAGTGAGGGAGCTGCAGGTGGGCTGCATCCGCTCCCCACAGTCCATTAAGAAGGTACTGTGATGTCATCGGATATGGGTACTGCCAAATGTTTCATCAAGCGCATAAGCTATTTGAGGCAGGGGGGGGGGGATGGCATAAATATGCAGATGCAATATCTAATAGCTGTTTGTACTCCAAACCCACGTTTCAATGATAAGGATTGGTGTAGAGAAATAAAAAGGCAAATGTATCGATTTTGTCTTGAATGTCTTCTTTTCTCTGTTTCCCCAGAGTGGTGAGTTTCACTGGGATAACGTGGCGTCTCTGCAGCAGCTCGGCTTCAGTGTGGAGCCCAGTAAAGGCACCGTGGAGACGGGCCACAGACGCACCATCACTGTCACATGGACTCCCCACAGTGGATACAAGGTGAACACCATTGTTATCACTGTTACTGAATTGGGGGGGAAACAACCTTGACAGAGGAGGGTGCATTGAAATGTTTGCATAAATGTGTATCAATTTAAATTGATTTTTGTTGAACAGCTAATTTACTTACCATTAGAATTGAATCACTGGTCATTTTAATATAGAAATTGAATTTTAAGGTCATACATATTGACTTATACCAGTACCTTTTACAGCAATACCACCATCTTAACTCCTGTGTGTGTGTGTGTGTGTGTGTGTGTGTGTGTGTGTGTGTGTGTGTGTGTGTGTGTGTGTGTGTGTGTTTCAGCCCTATGAGGTAGTGCAGACATGTTTACCTCTTACCTTGAAGGGGAATGAGACGAATGTCTACAGAGTCACCCTGATGGCTTTGGTCTCCACCACAGCTGACTGACCTCTACAGTGTCTGGAGTGGCTGGCCAGTGTGCAATCTGCTCACACACACACACACACACTGAAAAAAAAGACATGTGATGTACTGTACATTTATGTGGCCAACAGTAACTGACAAATTGATTATTTATGAATTTAATCTAATTATTAAAGGTGGAATTGAAGTAAGAATTGTTCACAAATCTGATTTGAACCATATTATTCTACAGTGACTGTACAGCTTCCATGTTCCCCGGGTTAAGTTATGTTACCGGCCCATTTCTTTTCATGCACTTTGCTGTAACTTAATTCCACCACCAGGGGGTGTACATAATGCCAACTACGCAGCTGTGTCATATCATGGTTAAGGGTGTGTCAGCTGATGTAAGCAAGCAGATGTATACAGTAGGCTACATACTGTAGCGCTGCTGGCACTAGTGGAAGGAGGGGGGGGAGGGGATTTGCAAAGATTGATATAGATAATTTATGGTTAACCTTAGTTTGGGATAAAGGCCACTTGTGTACAATTAAAGCCTATTGATCAGGCATAGACTGACATATTGGTTTAGCACATCGGTGTTAATAGCAGAAGTTGGTGCTGTACGCTTGATTGCTCCAACAGTAATAGTGGAAGTATCAATAATAGAGGTACTAAACTTAGTAGTAGGCTGATGAGTCAAATTTCCAGCTCACATGTCTATTCAAAGTTGGTCTTGGATGAATGTTGTTATTAGATGAGGAAACAGTTGTGAAAGCATTCGGGCCGTCACACTGGAACAGGTTCCGTGGCAGCCTCGTTGAAGGGTTTTAGAACTTGTAGACAAAACTTACTGGCCGATAACTGATTGTGAATGAAGATCTAAATAGATTTCACCTGATTTTGAACATTAGGGAGATTACTTCGGTCGGTCGTACTCCCATCCAGAAGACCCGTGGACTGGGCCCAGGCCAGTACTGAACCAGATAGTTGCACTTACAAGTACCTGCCACTAGGAGCCCCCTAATGTCCCCACTGGTCCTCCACTAGTTATGGAATTCATGGAATTTCATGGAATTTAAAGTGCTGTGGTGTATTTGAAATAGTGAAAGTGAGGGAAGTTGACCTTCCACTCTGGGGAAAGTCACGCATTATCAGCGTATATTATCAAATACACGCTGTGTATTTGATAATACATAAACTCTTTTTAGCAACTAGTTTAGTAACAATATTCTGCACAAAATGTGAAAACATACCTGCACAGTTGTTTACAGTTCTTTTATTCTAAATGAACTTTCAAAAATGTTCTTTCTATACAGCTCACTGGATAACATTTGTTTTAAAAAAGACAGGAATTAAATAAACTTTAGTAAAGGAGGTATGTTTTGAGTATCTGATACTACTGAAATGTAGTGTTTCTAGATTTTTTTTAAATATTTATTTCTTTATGTTAACATAATTTAAAGAAAACATTTCATTTCCTTGGGGTGTTTTATATGCACTGTGTATTATATATGTTTGTTTTTTTAAATAAAATTAAACTTTTTGGTGCAATGACAAAATGTGTAAAAAGATCAAAAGGTGACAAATATTTTGTCAATGGTTATGAAATGTATAAACTACTCCTTCATATAGGCTTAGACCTTTCTAAAGCTAAAACAATAAAAAGGGGGCTTTGCACAGACCAAAATGTATTGATATTTATTCAAACATTAGACTCAGATCCTGTGATCGCTTTGCATATACATAACTGTGTCGTGAAACAATTCCAATCACATTGGACATTTAGGTGAACATTTCCCTTCAGATTATTTGATATAATGAATGATCCAGTCCTCACAACAGTACCAACGGACAATCTCTCTGATCCAGATCTTTTTTACAACATTGCTCTGTCACATTTTAATTGCTCATTCCAAAACTGGGCACTCACTTGCTAATCTCCTGACGGGTGTCCAACTCTATGTGAACCAGGCCCCTGTGCATGTGAACAGCAGATGTCAGTAATGCCTCCAAACGGACCAATAGGATCTGACCTCTCTCAGAGATACATGCTGTAAGCATTTATCAGAGATTGGAGGAGATTATGCTAAATCAGATTACTGTACCACAACCTGCCTATAAAAAGCAAGGTCATTATGAGCTTATCCTCGTGTAATGTCACTCGTATGAAACGTATGAGATCATATTAGGTAATATTTGTGTTGCCATTTTGCCTCTTTTTTTCTAATCTGATTTTCTCCTCTGATCTCTCGCTAATACTGTGAGATAGTGCTACTTACGATCCCTGCTCTGTATGTGTGTGTTTGTGTGTCTCTGGCCGCCTGAATACAACCCACTGAGTTAGTGAATGTGTCGTTATAAAATAATGCAGGAGATTAAAAAAAAGCTCATAAAAAGTAAACCTTCTTGGAGGCCTCGTCCGTGTGAAGTATTTCAATTACACACAATTACTAATTAAACATACAGAAGGCTGGTATATTCATTATTATCATGCCATTGATGCTATAAATATAATTAAGTCTTGTTTCTTACAGAATAAAATGGCCCAATTGTTGAAATCTCCTTTTTTTTAATGGTTTGCCTCCCGACGACCATCACTGTCTGACATAGTTTGACTACTTTATTTAGCGCAACTAAATCAGAGCATGTGTTGACACCAAAAGCACACATCGAGGAGGTGGATTGTTGTCTTTTTCCACTCTCCTCATCAACAGGCTCAAGGCAGACAGTAAGCATTCTCCCCTGGGTGGTCTGAAGGCTCCGCTGAAGCAGCTTCACAACACATGAATGCAGACAGGCCGGGGTGTATCCAGGGGCAACTGAGTCTCACCAGTATTAACCTGAGCAGATGAGTCCCGGTGGAAAGCCACACCCAGAACACACACACACACAGGGGCAGTGCAACACACAGTACCTATCTGTTTGTTTGTTTTTTTTAAATAAAGTTAAATTCTGGTTTCTAATCTACCACCAACATCTACTATTTCCTTACTCGATGCCGAAATGTGAGTGAATGAGTGGTTTTCACTCTCTTACTCTAATCCAAGTGTGCACACACTCCTCCATACAGTACTGTACAGTCAGTATAAGGAAGGTATCTCTTGCCAGTGATGTGTGGTTACAGAGCTGACCGTCCCACAGCAGATGCTTGTTCATACAGGATAGCTGGGCCAGTTTCCTCCTACAGGTTTGAGATTTAAAAAACTGGCAGGAGCACAACCGTGTGGTTATTGAAATGACTGAGACAGAAAATATACTGTATATCGACGAATGATTTTTATTTGGACACATGCTTATTCGGAGTGTATTTATCGACCATTTCGACTGCAACTTGGGACTGTCAGGAGACAACATGAAAAACAGATCTGGCACAAACAGTGCATCCCCAAATGCTGCAGCAGAGAGAAGAGCGCTCTCTCAGGAGCGGTTTTCATGCAAACCGTAGCTGATGATGCTTTTGTCTTCCCCCATCACACCAAGCCCCATACACACTTTGTTGTCCAGGCGGACGGCAAAGTGTTCCACGTCTCCAAGTAACGCCTTACCCCGCTGAGCATTATCCCCTCCTCTGAGCACTCTACCAAGACTGCTGGTGATAATGATCAACTCATCTCTGTCTCTGTGCTGCAGTGAGGGCCCACCCTCAAACACTCAGCGCAGGAGGTAAATCCCCACTGATTTCTGGTCTCGAACTCGGGCACATCAGTTCATACAAATAAAGTATGGCGAAGTTAATATCGCTTGTCAACAAAAACTTCCATTGCCAGCCTGTGTTGACAAATGTCTGGGGACAGTGGGAGCGACGAATGTATGAATGTATGAATTCAGTATGAATTATGTGACATGGATCATTAAACCATCCGTTTATATTAGATTTACTGTACATGTAGTAAAGGGTGTTTTGGATTCGTGCCTGCTGGCAGGAAAGAACATGCAGTGTTGTAGTCAAATTTGTGTCACAGTTGGTTTTGGTTTGCAAATGAGACTGTTATTGGCTTGAAGTAGCGGTTGTTGCACTGACATGAAAGTCATACATTGTGGTTGTTGTACCAACATAACAATCCCTTTTTTTAAAGTTCCCAAACTTGTTCATGTCACAGGTTCACAGAAAGCCAAAGGTCTCATGTGTAACATGGATTGGGATTTTATACTGTATATACTGGAGTATATACTGTGTGTGGAGAGATATGATTGGCAAAATACACTAGGATACAAAAGCAATTTGTTCCTAAATATTTAAATCAATTATTCCTGGTAAATGATAATGAAAGTACCTCATAGAACCTATGGAGTTGTGTAGGCCACATTTCAGAACCACTGGCTTAAACCAGGGCTGTATAGAAAGGTTGTTGTTCTAACATACTTTGGCGTGAGAAATGCTCATTCTCGTGTCACATCTGATTTTATCTCTTTAAATGAGCAAAGTTGCAGAATAAAAAGCAGTGTTTTGGCAGGTAAACGTTATTTAGTTGTCTTGGTGTTACCAAAAATGGCAGTATTTCCTGATCTGTTCGTCGCCGACCCTTCTCCGTGCGTTGTGACGCTGCCGTAACGTGGGGTTTCCCAGACCTGAGTGCAGGGTTACCGCGCCCATCTCTGCTGTTTGATGGCCGGAGGAAGAAGCGACTGAGAGCCTGGCGTGAAGGAAGAAAAAAAGAGGGACGACATCGGTGGGAAAGACGAGAAGGGATTTTTGCTTTGAGTTGGAATTTGCGTTGAAACGGAAGAACGCTCCAACGGGACCGTGCCACGTCTTTTCTGGGTGAACCTTGTATCATTGCGCCTCTGTGCCGGTGTGTCTCCCCCCTCGGCGGGTCAAAAACTGGGTTCTGGGAGTGCCGCTCCTCGGTAGCTTAACTCACGTTAGCTCAATTTTAGCGCCTGGGCGGAGAGAGGAGAGACGAGATTCTGCTGTTTCCAGTCAATGTGATATAAACAACGGATACCCTCGACTGAAAGCGGGTAAGGATGTGTATTGATATTTTACATTGCGCTTCAGGAAATGCATGAAGTGTGTGCAGTGTGCTAGCCTGTCGACCGGGGAAGATGAACGAAAGGGGTTAAACCCGAGAGAGTGGCTCATAGAGTGGCTCCTACGTTAGAGCTAGCTGGGTTAGCCTGCTGCTAGCTAGAGAGTGGGTGGGGGTCACTGTTAAAGAAACTTAACGCATTGCGTTAACCAAGGTGTCCATTCATCAAGACAGTGTTTAGCTGGTTTTATATCTGCTGCTTCTCTCCGGTAAGCTGGTGGCGTTACTAATGTAGATTAGAAGGTTAACGTTAGTTAAAGCTGGGTAGGTTAGCCAGCACCCCTCTGCAACGTCCGGGTGTCTTTCTCCCTCTCTGAAGAGATATCGTTAAACTATTTGGCTTAAACTGTATCAGCGTTGCTTTAGTTTGCCATTTATCCAAGCATTATCCAAATTGGGGGTTCACCTAAGTCCTAATATTGAGCCCAATTACCCTCAACACATTGGGTCTGTACGTCGGCACACATTTCACACCGTTAACGTTACCTGGTGAGCTAAATGGTCGCACATTTGCTGCTCGGAGTCTTGTTGAGTAACCCAAGGCGAGCTATGATAATCACATAGCTGCAACTTCTTGTACTTGCACAACTCAAACAAACGTGAACAGAGTTTGGATTTACTTCTTCTCGTGTAGCATCGTGCAAATAGCAACGAAACGAGTCTAAATGTGGCTCCTTCACCACCACCCCCACTATCTCACAGCCAGTCAACACCAGCTAGCCAGCAGTGGCCACAGCCTACGTTTGCGTCCTGCTCCGGCTGATCTGTGATCTGTGCATGTTCAGAACATGGCAGCCAGAACACTCTGCCCGGAACGTTATCCCCAGTGAATACGAGCGGTGCTGTAGTCTAAATGCCGCTTTTATGTAAAACTCGTGCATTGAATCGTTCATATTCGCCTTTCTAACAAATATATTTACGTGCTGCCTAATTTCTCAGTTGCAAACTCTCATTTGACAAACTGTGTTTAAACGGGCTTGTTGACCGAGCAGCGTTTAATCCGGTGAATCGAAACCAACCCATCATGTATTATGGCTGCTGTGTGCCACAGCTAACGTTACATGTTAACACACGTTTAGTTACAGTCGGTCCAACGAAGGTGCCGACAAGGAAACATCGTTTATGCGAGTCTAACTTTAAATGCACAAAGTATAAAACTAATATATATTTACGTATATTACCGAGCGGAAACGCAGGTTTTAGGATCGCATTGCGAGAATAAGCGCCGCCGTGGAGCTGGTGGGGCAATAGCCATTTTAGTTTAGTGTTAAACCAAACGTCGGTGAGCGAACACACCGCTCGGTCTATATGTGAACTTCTTCCTTTAATGATGTGAAAACGAGCTCGTCTGCTGATAATTGGATTTTGGCAATCTGTTTATCTCGATCACGGGTCTGGTTGTTAGCAGCTACACCTACAGCCCTACCGGGCCGCGCTGCTCCACAGTAGTTCAGGCTGTATAGCCCGGAAAATGGGCACGTTTTACCCACAAGGAAGCACTAAAATCACAGTTAAGCACAGCAGCGTGAGGCCGGTACAGTAGAAGAGATGAGGAGTGCGGAGATTTGTGTTTAGTGGCAACGTTAAATAATCCGAAAGAGGCTTTAGCAACGAGTCAGACGTCGCAGGAAGTGGAGCTGAGCGCCTCCTCCAGATCTATGTGACGTTAGCCTGACATGTTACGATGTGACATCTAACTATCCGACTTCTAGTCGACTACATGACATGTTCGGTGTTCGTTAACAGAGCTATTTGTATTTACTGGTTCACAAAGATGAATTCATTTCGCCAGTGTGCCCCCCCTCTCCCTCCGCCTCCTCGAATGAATGGGTTCCTGTATTCAGGGCCCAAGCAGCTGCAATGAACAAGATGGCGTTCAAAGCCTTTCTCATCACCGCTTCTTCTCAGACGGGGAGAGACAGATGCCAAGCATCGGATGGGTTCAGGCTTGGCAGACTAGATTTCTTTGCTTTCCGTCAATCGTAAAAATAATGTACCGAATGTATTTGTGTCGAAACAGTTTTAAAGCTGAGGGAGAATCCTGCTCAGAGCGATCCAGTATGTGCACCTCAGAGCCAGGACGACACGGTGGGGAAGGGCTGTGAACATGAACGCCATGGAACATGGTCAATGTTTTAATGGTTCATTAGAAATAAACATTTGTTTTACATGTTTTGATATTAAGCTTAATGGCATGTTTTAAGCATTTGTAACCACACCTCAGGGAAGTTGGACATATTTCTCAATCCTCACAGTTAAATGTGACCTAATGGATAAAAATAGATCTATAACTGTAAATAAAATCTAGTGATTAAGATTCTGCTCGGCTTTAATTGCAGTGACCCCCCCCCCCCCCCCTGCATATATATATAACACTTGAAAATATAAATGTGACATTTATTCAACTTTATTGTAAAAGAAAACAGTTTGTTGTGCTTTTGTGTGCTGTAGATCAGCCACATTCCTCCAATTCATAGTCTGTTCATAAGAATGTATTTTCTATGTTGGTTATGTAACTATCAGTTTTGAAGGGTTGACATTTTGCAAATTTCCAACGCCACTGAATGGCCCAATTACATTTATATTTAATTGTCTTCCTCACGCATTGATCCCG